ATCGGATTTTGTAAATGTAAATTGTGCTGTGCATTTATGAATTTTTGAGGCTGATCTGGCTCCATAGAAATAGGTCACCCCATTGATAATACCTGAGAAGTTAAAGTAATTACGCAAGAAAACCACACGATTTCAAAAACGTTCATTTAACATGTGCAGGGTTCGTGAATCATTTGATTTAGATCGAAACTTCGGAGGGCGTATCGTGAACCATTTGATTTCGGAACCTCAGAGTGCTTATCAGGACTTCGAATCATTTTCTTTCTTTCTTTCTTTCTTTTTTATTAAAACAGTTGACTAAAAAACATCAAACCATTAATTAAGGCATTACAGTTAAAAGAGAAAACCATGGTTTTATTATGAATATTTGTATAACCACAGTTTTACTCCAAATACCATGGTAAAAAACTATGGTTAGTGTAGCAAAACCATGGTTCATTTGTGGTTACCATGGTTTGGTGTGTGTTTTTTTTAAACCATGGTTTCTTTTCGAAAGGGATGTGTTGCCAGGTTAACAAAAAATGTAATAAATTTACACCTCAAAAGATGAATATAAAGATACAGTTCTCATTGCTTTAGGATTAACAGAGCTTTGGATAGTTTCCATGTACCTGTCCAGATCAAGAGAGGTTTAGAGCCAGTACATTTCCATTTGTGTAGGCCTATGTGAAATTTAACTAGCATGAAAGACCAATTCAATTATATTTTCCTATATTCTATTTTGAGCAATCAAACAATCCACAGAAAAGGTTGTCTGCTATTATGTCCCTAACAATTTCATAATCAATCCTATGCACAACCCTATTTGTTTTACAACTGTTAAGAAGAACATGCTCTTCTTAACACTTGTAAAACAAATAGTTTTTTAAAAAAAAATTTAACTACAAAACTTAGCTTAATAAAATAATAAAAACGTAAGGAAATTAAACTTAAGGAAGGATGGATGAATAAATCACACACTCCACGTCTGGTCACACACACACACACACACACATGTCTGGTCACACACTCACACACACACACACACACGTCTGGTCACACACTCACACACACACACACATGTCTGGTCACACACTCACACACACACACGTCTGGTCACACACACACACACTCACACACAGTTGTCCTGCAGGTGTCAGTGAATCACCGACAGTTTGGCCGCGATGAAGCCGCCGTGTTATCGCGAGATTTCAATCGTTGTCGTTATTCCAAAGATGGCGGCAGAAGCGGGACCTGTGCCTGAGAGAGACACAGCAGAAGGGTGAGAATCAATAAAAACATAATGTATGTGTATGTGTGTGTGTATATGTGTATGTATGTACAGTATGTGTATATGTGTGTGTGTGTGTGTATGTATATGTGTGTATATATGTGTGTGTGTGTATATGCATATGTATATATGTGTATGTGTATATATATGTGTATATGTGTATATATATGTGCTCATGGTTAAGAATAAGTTACTGATCAGCTATGGTAGGTTTATTTCTCTTATTGTCACGTGTGTGTTTTTGCAGAGATGCATCATTTGGAGATCTGACCACAAACATGGAGACTGAGTCGTCCAGTGGAAAAGAGACTATGGTATGACCTTTTACACATGATGAATCATATGCAACATAAAATCAGACCTGATTTACTTTATTAACAAACATTTCTGCTCTTATTGTAAATGATTTATAAGTGGATTTATCTTATTTATATGTTATATAATGATTATATTATTCTTCTATAAAAATATGATTTAATATGTTGTTACTATAATAATATATTATTAAACAGGTATATTTAAATATATTTTTATATCATTTAAATTAGCCTTTATTTTTTATTTTTGAGTTTTCTTTTAGTATATTAATATTTTGAATTAGCCTTTTTTTACTTTTCATTAATTTTTTTGTTATGTAATTAGTTTGTTTTTATGTTTGTGTATAGTTTTTAAGTTTGATTTAAATTATAATTTTATTTTGATTACTTGTCAAAGCAACATTTGTCATTTTGGCAACATTTCTTGTTTTTTAAGTTTGTTTTTCATCTAATATTTATATTTTGTTTAATCACTATTTCAGTTAATTAAATAGTTTTGTTTTTAGCTAACAATTATTTTTAATTAAAATACTGCTTCAGCTTAATCCTTTATCAAAATCCATTCCCTATACATAAGTATAACATTTTGTGGATAGAAAGTCCTAATATTTTCAAAATACTCATAAATCCAAGGCACTCGAGTAGTGTGAAAAAATTAAAAAGCCTTTATTCATACCCTGATGAAGGCGAGTTAGCCGCAACGCGTCTGTGCACAAATGTGTTGTTTTTACATTTACAGCCATGTGAATAAAGGCTTTGTCATTTTTTCACACTACTCGAGTGCCTTGGATTTATGAGTATTTTGATGATACAAAAGAATCCCGCATCCAAAGAGCACCGATTTATGGATTTTTACACCCCCAGCAGCAGCAGTCTTTTGCATAATTGTGAATGTCCTAATATCTTGTTTCTTATTGAACGTCCTGGATCGCTTGGAAATATGTCACATTACTGAAGTCAGATGGCTTGAGAATGTGCTGTTTTGTATTGACTTTCAGTATAGCGTAACATTGTGTCTGTGTGTGTCGGCAGGACACGGCGGGTGACGGCTCGGAGGCGGCGGATGCACAGACGGGGTCTGGAGACGATGAGAACAGCCGTCAGCTGGGGGAAGTGGAGCTGCAGTGTGCGCTGTGCATGAAGTGGTTTACGGCGGACACGTTCAGCATCGACACGGCGTACGTTTGTGTCCTGGCGCAGATGGACGGGTGTCTCGCATGCATGTTCTTACGCTGTCCGTTTGTTCTTTCCTGCAGAAATTGCCTGCCGTTCGTGACCAATTATGTGTTTCACTGCAATGTGTGTCACCACAGCGGAAACACGTACTTTTTGAGGAAACAAGCAAGTGAGTGGATCAGTTTGACTTGTATGTAATTAGTTTGTTTTTATGTTTGTGTATAGTTTTTAAGTTTGATTTAAATTATAATTTTATTTTGATTACTTGTCAAAGCAACATTTGTCATTTTGGCAACATTTCTTGTTTTTTAAGTTTGTTTTTCATCTAATATTTATATTTTGTTTAATCACTATTTCAGTTAATTAAATAGTTTTGTTTTTAGCTAACAATTATTTTTAATTAAAATACTGCTTCAGCTTAATCCTTTATCAAAATCCATTCCCTATACATAAGTATAACATTTTGTGGATAGAAAGTCCTAATATTTTCAAAATACTCATAAATCCAAGGCACTCGAGTAGTGTGAAAAAATGACAAAGCCTTTATTCACATGGCTGTAAATGTAAAAACAACACATTTGTGCACAGACGCGTTGCGGCTAACTCGCCTTCATCAGGGTATGAATAAAGGCTTTTTAATTTTTTCACACTACTCGAGTGCCTTGGATTTATGAGTATTTTGATGATACAAAAGAATCCCGCATCCAAAGAGCACCGATTTATGGATTTTTACACCCCCAGCAGCAGCAGTCTTTTGCATAATTGTGAATGTCCTAATATCTTGTTTCTTATTGAACGTCCTGGATCGCTTGGAAATATGTCACATTACTGAAGTCAGATGGCTTGAGAATGTGCTGTTTTGTATTGACTTTCAGTATAGCGTAACATTGTGTCTGTGTGTGTCGGCAGGACACGGCGGGTGACGGCTCGGAGGCGGCGGATGCACAGACGGGGTCTGGAGACGATGAGAACAGCCGTCAGCTGGGGGAAGTGGAGCTGCAGTGTGCGCTGTGCATGAAGTGGTTTACGGCGGACACGTTCAGCATCGACACGGCGTACGTTTGTGTCCTGACGCAGATGGACGGGTGTCTCGCATGCATGTTCTTACGCTGTCCGTTTGTTCTTTCCTGCAGAAATTGCCTGCCGTTCGTGACCAATTATGTGTTTCACTGCAATGTGTGTCACCACAGTGGAAACACGTACTTTTTGAGGAAACAAGCAAGTGAGTGGATCAGTTTGACTTGCTGACTTAGTGAACACTTTTGCATGCTGCTGTTTGAATTGTTACGTAGGTGTTGTTATGCAGTATGTACTTGAACTGCATGATTTGGAGAAAAAAAATCTTAATTGAGTTTTTTTGATAAAGATTGTGATTTAAAATGGCAATTCAAAAAGAAAATTTTGTTGTGCGTGTTAGTAAGGCTGTGCAGTTTTGGCCAAAATTTTGTGATGTATATCAGTATGGCTTTGATATTATTATTATTATTAGTAGTAGTAGTAGTATTTTTTACCCTGATCCTAATTGGTATTAATATTATTAGAAATTAGAATATTATATGTAATTAATATAATTACTACTTGTTGTTTTTATTAAATATTATTGTAATAATTAATGGAAATGACTAAATAAAAACAAATGTTATTTTATAATAAGAAATCACATAATAATGAGAATAATTTGTTTACGTTACAAATGTAAAATTAAAATACTTAAATTAAAATCTGTCTTAATTTCTTTCATTTTCAAACATTAAACCAATCAAACTTTTTTAAATAATAACAATATGATTATTATTATTATTATTATTAATGTTGTAATTATGTACGTTAATTGATTATGAGAATTACTAAATAAAAACAAAGGAAATATTTATTTTATAATTATTTTTAGTTTACATTACAACTGTTACGATACTAATATATGTCTTAATTTCTTAATTTTCAAATGTTAAACCATCAAACTTTATTATTACTGTGATAATTGCTTATCTTAATGATAAAAATTGCTAAATAAAAACAAAAAATATTACTTTTGCAAATTAAAAAGTATAATAATTTTAGTTTACAACTGTTACAATACTAATATTTATATATAGGTCTTAATTTCTTCATTTTCAAATCATAAACATCACACGTTTATTATTATTGATTATAATAATAAATATTATAATTGTTATAATTAATCAAATATAAAAATTACTAAATAAAAACAAAATAAATATTACTTGGGAAAAAATTGATATTTGCGCTAAACGATTTCGGTTTTCTTGAAATTGTGTAGCTCCGGTATCTGCATTGCATTCAGCACATCGATTTTTTTTTTCTCCCCATCGTCTTCATTGTTTAATGGTTTTATCCACAGATCTGAAGGAGATGTGTCTCACTGCTTTGGCAAATCTGACATGGAGGTCCAGAACTCAAGAGGAGCATCCCAAAACAATGTTCTCTAAAGATAAGGTACGCTTTCCGCTGTAGTTAAGTGAATGCAGTGCCATGTGTTTAATGTGTGGTTTCAGTGCTAGTGTACTGCAAATATTCATAGGTCATTTGTATATTTTACACATACTGAAAATGTATGAAAAAAAAATTGCTGGTAAAACAATTTTCACTCCAAAACTGCTTGTAAATTTCACAAATAATAAAAAAAAATGGCAAGCAACCCATTCAATTAAACATGAAGACTTGAAATACAAAGATTTTCTTGTAAAATGTACTCCAGTAATGCTTTATTTACAACTCCGTAAAACCGACTAAGGTTAACCAAGAATAGTAAATACTGTAACAAATGTATTGCTCATTGTTAGTTAATGTTAGTTAAAGCATTAAATATTGGAACCTTATTGTAAAGTGTTACCAAAATTCTTGTTCTTGATTTTGGGTTTTTCACCCAATTTTTGGCCAAGATTTCTTCACTTAAATCCCCAAAATAAGTAATTTAGAACAAAAGATATTTAGTTCTATTTTAACTTGTATTATGAGATCTAATTGTGTTTTACTCTGTTTTACATGCTAACATACAAATTAAGATTTTTTTAGAATGTAAAAACATATTAAATTAGAATTTTAAAATATATATTTTGAAATTTCATGTTTTAAGTATTTAAAACATTTAAAAATATTTAAAAACTTTAATGTTAATTTCAACATTTACTAATACATTATTATAATCAAAAGATGTATCTTTTAATATTATTTAATCAACTTGAATTAACATGATCTAATAACAATTGTGCCAAAATAAATAATTTAGAACAAAAGACATGTCGGTAAATTATAACTGATTGTGTTATATAGATCTGATAAAATAGCCTAAGATGCTGACATGGCATTAAATGAAAATATACTACTACTATATAGATCTGATAGTGCTTTACTCTGGTTTAGTGACCCGCTGTTCTCAGCGCAGCGCCTGCCACCTCATGGTTATCCTCTCGAGCACCCCTTCAACAAAGACGGTTACCGCTACATCCTAGCCGAGCCGGATCCCCACGCTCCCGACCCGGAAAAACTGGAGCTGGACTGCTGGGCCGGGAAGCCCATCCCTGGAGACCTGTACCGAGCGTGTCTGTATGAGAGAGTGCTGCTGGCGCTGCATGACAGAGGTACATGTGTCATCCGTAACATCTGACCTACAGTGGTGGCCAAAACGATTAGAACACTAGTATTTCCAGCAGCTAAAAATGGTTTTAAGTCAGTTATTTCTATCTTTTGCTGTAGTGTGTCGGTAGGAAATATCAGTTTACATTTTCAAACATTAATTTGGCCATTAATTGTAATAATGCAGTGAGATTTTTGTCTGATTTGATCATCATCAGTCTGTCTGGAGTGACACGAAGAAACAGAACAAACTGAGACAGACTCAATCCAGAAGAACTGTGCCAACGTCTCCAAGACGCTTCAAGAAAGCTACCTGGTTGTGTTTTTATTAACTAAGGTTAACCAAGAATAGTAAATACTGTAACAAATGTATTGCTCATTGTTAGTTAATGTTAGTTAAAGCATTAAATATTGGAACCTTATTGTAAAGTGTTACCAAAATTCTTGTTCTTGATTTTGGGTTTTTCACCCAATTTTTGGCCAAGATTTCTTCACTTAAATCCCCAAAATAAGTAATTTAGAACAAAAGATATTTAGTTCTATTTTAACTTGTATTATGAGATCTAATTGTGTTTTACTCTGTTTTACATGCTAACATACAAATTAAGATTTTTTTAGAATGTAAAAACATATTAAATTAGAATTTTAAAATATATATTTTGAAATTTCATGTTTTAAGTATTTAAAACATTTAAAAATATTTAAAAACTTTAATGTTAATTTCAACATTTACTAATACATTATTATAATCAAAAGATGTATCTTTTAATATTATTTAATCAACTTGAATTAACATGATCTAATAACAATTGTGCCAAAATAAATAATTTAGAACAAAAGACATGTCGGTAAATTATAACTGATTGTGTTATATAGATCTGATAAAATAGCCTAAGATGCTGACATGGCATTAAATGAAAATATACTACTACTATATAGATCTGATAGTGCTTTACTCTGGTTTAGTGACCCGCTGTTCTCAGCGCAGCGCCTGCCACCTCATGGTTATCCTCTCGAGCACCCCTTCAACAAAGACGGTTACCGCTACATCCTAGCCGAGCCGGATCCCCACGCTCCCGACCCGGAAAAACTGGAGCTGGACTGCTGGGCCGGGAAGCCCATCCCTGGAGACCTGTACCGAGCGTGTCTGTATGAGAGAGTGCTGCTGGCGCTGCATGACAGAGGTACATGTGTCATCCGTAACATCTGACCTACAGTGGTGGCCAAAACGATTAGAACACTAGTATTTCCAGCAGCTAAAAATGGTTTTAAGTCAGTTATTTCTATCTTTTGCTGTAGTGTGTCGGTAGGAAATATCAGTTTACATTTTCAAACATTAATTTGGCCATTAATTGTAATAATGCAGTGAGATTTTTGTCTGATTTGATCATCATCAGTCTGTCTGGAGTGACACGAAGAAACAGAACAAACTGAGACAGACTCAATCCAGAAGAACTGTGCCAACGTCTCCAAGACGCTTCAAGAAAGCTACCTGCAAAGCTTCCTGAAAAACTCTGCTCAAGTGCCCCTTGAGCAAAAGCTGCTTTAACTGCAAAGGATGCTCACACCAAATGTTGATTTAATTTAGTTAATAGAAGTTAATTGATAAAGAACATTTATTTATGACATTATTTTAGACAGTATCCTCATTTTACAGCATTTTTACACAAGTGCCTAAAACTTTTAACAGCACTGTAGCTTTGCAGGTAGGTTTCTTGAAGCATCTTGGAGACGTTGGCACAGTTCTTCTGGATTGAGTCTGTCTCAGTTTGTTCTGTTTCTTTATGTCACTCCAGACAGACTGATGATGATCAGATCAGATCTCTGTGTGCAGCACTGGCTGTCGTCAGACAAAACTCTCACTGGATTATTACAATTAATGGCAAAATGATTGATTGGAAATGGAAATATGATATTTCCTACTGACACACTACAGCAAAACAGAAATAACTGACGTAAAACCATTTTTAGCTGCTGAAAATACTAGTGTTCTAATCATTTTGGCCACCACTGTAAATAAACCTCCTGCTCAATTGCTTACTGTATTTTTATCTCTATTTCAGCTCCGCAGCTAAAGATTTCAGATGACCGCCTGACGGTGACCGGAGAGAAGGGCTACTCGATGGTCAGAGCGTCTCATGGCGTCAGAAAGGGTGCGTGGTATTTTGAGGTCACTGTGGACGAGATGCCACCGGACACCGCGGCTCGGCTGGGCTGGTCACAGCCTTTAGGTCTGTCCTGTAACAGCACTGCTAACAATTACAGAAGCTTCCCTGTATTTACAGCGTCCGTCATATGTTTTTCATCTCAGGAAACCTACAAGCTCCTCTGGGTTACGATAAGTTCAGCTACTCGTGGCGCAGTAAGAAAGGAACGCGCTTCCATCAGTCCATAGGAAAGCATTACTCTGACAGCTACGGACAGGGTGACATCTTGGGCTTCTACATTGAGCTTCCAGACGACACCGAAACCGCCAAGGCTCTGCCTGAGACCTACAAGGACAAAGTATGAACAAATGAAGTAATTTGTTTATTTATTGGTTTATTTGATCTTCAGCTGAAAATGCATTTTACTTAAAGGAATAGCTCACCCAAAAATGAAAATTTACTCAGGCCATCCTAGATCTAGATGAGTTTGTTTCTTCATCAGATTTGGAGAAATGTAGCATTGCATCACTTGCTCACCAATGGATGCTCTGCAGTGAATGGGTGCCGTCAGAATGAGAGTCCAAACAGCTGATAAAAACATCACAATAATCCACAAGTAATCCTCACCACTCCAGTCCATCAGTTAACGTCTTGTGGGTGGATTTTGACGACAGGGGATGGACTTTTTCGCTGAAGGAAGCATTATTATAGATTATGGACTTATATGTTGGCCAGTAAACAACTTAATGGTGGATTTGTTTCTTACAAACACGTAGCTTTTGTCTTCTCTAGACTTTAACTGATGGACTGGAGTGCTGTGGATTACTTGTGGATTATTGTGATGTTTTTATCAGCAGTTTGGACTTTCATTCTGACGGCACCCATTCACTGCAGAGAATTAATTTATATATATACAACTCTGTGTTGGTTATTAAATACATTTTATTAATTAAACTACTAAATAATCTTTATTTTCAGTTTCTGTTTTCTGCTAAATGAAAGCTTAAATTTAGTTTTTTTTTTGTAAAATGTGCATTTTGTGCATCACTAGTTTTACATGGTAATTAGTAGATGAATGGATCGTAGTTGATCCGTCCCCACGGTTTGTGATCCGCTGATTAATTGCAAAATGTAACCATAATAGAGTGAAAGATTATCATTTGTACGTGTTTACACACGCAAGCAATTTTAAACCATTCCAGCGAAAGGGAACTCTATTCGTTACTCGCTCACTGTTTTCTATGCGCAGACACGCACACATGAAGCACACACACGCCAAGAAGCATGTTTCACTGCGCGCGAACACTGAACTGAATCTGAAACCTTTGAACAGACACATACACACAAAATTATGACAACATACCGATCTCAACAATCATTCTGGTAAAAGAATGAAAACAGCTGAGAAAGAAATTGGATGTGTATCATTATATTGGATCTGTGCATCAGCTCTTAAAGTGACAGCAGCCTATAAATAACTAACTGCTGCTGTCATTAAATGCTCATCAAACAACAAAACACTTTGACAAATATCTATATTTAATTTATACAGTGACCACTATGCAGTGTTTTTTTCCCCTAATTATTACATTTCTGTACCTGAATACTACCAATTTTATTAGTAACGTTGTTCTGTTTTATTTGTCTATGCTTGTAATTGGTGTATTTGTTCTTATTTTTACTTGTCTCTTTAATCATGTTTGAACGTTCATAGTTAGGCTAGTAGTTTTTGCTGTGGTATCGAAGAAGTACTTGGCTTTAAATTATAAATGGGAAGCAAAGTTACATTGAAATAGTTTTTTCTTTTCTTGCTGATCCGAAAAACGATCTGATCCGTGGCTCAAAAACCGTAACCGTGAGATTTGTGATCCGTTAATTTTTCTCAAAGGCGCTGATCAAATTCAAAAGCTACTTGTACTTCGAAGAGAAAGATTACGTGGACAAGGCCGAGAAGAGTTTAAAACCCACCAGTTCCAGCCAAGTGAGTGTTTCACTGCATTATATTCAAGCGTTCAAGTTGTATTTGGCTATTTGATTGTGATGTCATCACTGATGTGTGATTTTTTTTTTTTTTTTTTTGTCAGATTATATTTTTTAAGAATGGAGTAAATCAAGGTGTGGCCTATGAGGATCTGTTCGAGGGCATGTATTTCCCCGCCATATCCCTCTACAAGAGCTGCACGGTACTTGAAAACCGTCTGAAAGTTGTGTTTTCTATTTTGTGCGAGTAAATGTAGGCAAGCAAAGTATTTAAACCGATGTTGTCTGTTTAGGTACAGAAGGATGGAAACTCTTGAATTTGCTGTTTTGCACGTTAAAACTCTCACCTGAATGTAAATGAAAGTGAAAGTGACGTGACATGTGGCCAAGTATGGTGACCCGTACTTGGAATTAGTGCTCTGCATTTAACCCATGCAAAGTGCACACACACAGCAGTGAACACACACACACCCGGAGCAGTGGGCAGCCATTTATGCTGTGGCTTGGGGGTTCAGCGCCTTGCTCAAGGGCACCTCAGTCGTGGTATTGAAGGTGGGAGAGAGCGCTGTACATTCACCTACAATTCCTGCCGGTACGAGACTCGAACCTGCAACCTTTGGGATACGAGTCCGACTCTCTAACCATTAGGACACGACCCCCCTTTAATAATAATTTTTAATTGCGCACAACCACTCATGCGCATACTACCGTTCACAAGTTTGGGGGATGTTTTTAATGAAAGGTCAAGTCAAGTCACCTTTATTTATATAGTGCTTTTAACAATACAGATTGTGTCAAAGCAACTGAACAGCATTAATTAGGAAAATAGTGTCAATAATGCAAAATGACAATAGTAAACACTCATTTTTCAGTTAAAGACAGTTCATCATTGAATTCAGTGATGTCATCATCCAGCTCAGTTCAGTTTATATAGTATCTTTGCAATCATTTGCAATCAAGTCAACGATATCTCTGGAAATGAAGTGTCCCCAACTAAGCAAGCCAGAGGCGACAGCGGCAAGGAACCAAAACTCCATCGGTGACAGAATGGAGAAAAAACCTTGGGAGAAACCAGGCTCAGTCGGGGGGCCAGTTCTCCTCTGGCCAAATGAAACCAGCTGTTCAATTCCAGGCTGCAGCAAAGTCAGATTGTGCAGAGGACTCGTCTGGTTCCTGTGCCATTTATTGTAAAATGTAATTTATTCCTGTGATCAAAGCTGAATTTTCAGCATCATTACTCCAGTCTTCAGTGTCACATGATCTTCAGAAATCACTCTAATGTGCTGATTTGCTGCTCAAGAAACATTTCTGATTATTATCAATGTTGAAAACAGAAACTGATGCGTTTCATTTTTCAGGATTATTTGATGAATAGAAAGTTTAAAAGAACAGCATTTATTTGAAATAGAAATATTTTGTAACATTATAAATAGGGTTGCAAAAAGGTGGACATTTTCCAGTAAATTTCGGAAACATTCCAGAAATTTTGGAAACTTTCCAGGATTTTTTTTTTTGAATATTCCAGGGATTTTTGGAAAATTTCCCAGAAATTTCCTGGAAATTTTCCACCCCTTTTCAACCCTAATTATAAACGCCTTTACTGTCACTTTTGATCAATTGAATGCGTCCTTGCTCGATTTTAAAATTAAAATATTACAATCTCAAACTTTTGAACACCAGTATATGTACAAATTTGTGCTTTTCTTTTTCTTCTTTGTGCTAAGCTAAATAAGTTTGACTGCTCAGAGGCCCGTTCTTCGTACGTCGCTTATTATATCCAAGATGAAAAGTCACATTCAAGATGATATCATCGCGCTAATCAGGATCTGGCTAATTGGGTTCTTCGAACGCACCTGTTGTTGATGATTAGTATGGCTGGATTGAGTTATCTGAGATAATTGCGCGTTCATGGGTTGGTTTAAAAGGGGCTATGTATCGATATTTGGAACCACGATCAGCAATGCAGCGATTGGCTGGCGGCAAGACAGCAACGTAATGACATCATATAATTAAAAAAAGACACCTGATGAAAAACTTGACAAATTTTTGGGACTTTTATAAGGAAACAGCCAAGCGAACAAAACTACATAAATGTTATAATAGATAAATGAATTTTTTTATTTTTTATAATTTTTTTACATGATTCCCAATTATTTATATTCACGATTTCTAATTTTTTTAATTTTTGATCTGCATCTCCTGCGCTCCATCAAGCCACTCCCATAATATCTGTCAGCACTCAAATGAATGCACGACTCTACATTATCTGAGCATGTGTGTAAGACTCGAATACAATTATGAAGTAATAATTTTTTTGACGAATAAATCTCTCCGTGAGTAAAACTGGCTGTGTCTACAGTATTAAAGACCACACAACATTATTATATTATCTTTAAATTAATTTTTAAATGATTATTATTTTAAATTATTGTCCCTTGATTAGTAGGGTACTCTTGTAATAAAGTAGCATTGGTAATGGACAGATTTTAATTCTGCTTAAATAGATGCAATCTAATCCTGTTTACATGAAATAAGCCTGCTCCCGAGCAGGTTTAAGCTTACGGACCTGTTGCTATGATAGCAACTCCGGGATGAGCTTCGAAGAACCAAACTATCCAAGATCATGCCAAATCGTCAACAATCAAATCCAGCTAACTGAGTTAGCGACGTATGAAGAATGGGCCCCAGAGGTGTTTATCAAAGAGTTGTCATTAGTTCCTCTGTATATATTCTGTGTATAGACTCTGTTCATACACTAGATGGTGCAGTATGAAAGAGTCCAGATGATGTTGAAAGGATTATGTCACACATATGAACCGAAATGTGTGGATCGGGATAATCTTTCATGCTGTTTCCTCTCTCCAGGTGTCTGTTAATTTTGGACCTCACTTCAGATACCCACCAAAAGACATCAAGTTTCAGCCAGTGAGTGTCAAATCCAAAGTTTTTTTTAAACTTGAATACTTTTCCTGTTACCATAGTACTTGATATATTCCTATTGGTATTTGCCCAAATAAAGGCATATTTCTTCTAGGGCTCTGAGATATTTGTTATAGCTGATGTTTTGTGCCCATTAAATTATACAGAGACTAAAATTATCTGTACTCCACCTTATTATTAACGGCTTTGGCTCAGCCCTTAATTCCAGAGAGGACATGAATGCTGTGTGTGACGTAGTGTTAATGCATACAGTGAGATTTTAGGGAAGCGTTTGCTTCAGTCTTCATGGGAACTGTCTGGGAAGGGCCTCGTTTTTGTTCTGCTTAAATCTTTTCTTAAAAGAATAAATTGCTGTGCATTACTGTGTCATGATATATGTAGTGTTGTTTTAATATCATTGACTATAATTGTAATACTTTGAATAAGTTTTTACTTTTGTATTTTCTGTTTTAATTTTCATTTGAAAGTTTTAGTCATTTTGTTGTTGTTTGTCATTTTTATTTATTTATTCGTTTGAATGTCTATATAGTTTTTATTCATTTTCGTTTCGGTTTTTATTTTAGTAAATCGTGTTAAACGAAATGATGCTTTGACAACTAGCTGACATCAAATGTAATTTTTTAATACATTTTATCTGATGTTCAGTTGTGTGTGATATGGTGTGTTTAACAGTGTTCTCAGATGCCATGGGTGTCCATTCATGGTTTTTATCAGTTGTTTATTTCTTAAGTGGTTTGTAGTCATTCAGATAGATGTAAAATATGATTTTTTTTTTTTTGTAAACCATGTTTTATACACAAACTTGTTTTAATAAAGTCATCTAAAGGAATATAAATGGCATGTATGTTTTGTGATATCTCTACACTGTTACAATTCAGTATTTATTAATGCAATGACCAGACACCATTTGCAAACTCATTTCATCTGTTATTTACAAATCTAGCATATAAAACATCGTAAATCTGGTTGTCGTTTTAAATATGAAAGCATGAAAAAAAAGACATCATTTGCACTTTTAACAACCTCTCCAGTGAGGAAGCCATCATGTGTTTTACATGAATTAGGAGGATTAAAAAAAAGACAGTTTTGTTTAGTCCTCTTCTGCAGTATCATTTGCACACTGATTTTGCCTTTTATTTTCAAATTAAGCAAATAAAACTAATCTTTTTTTGTAATATGAAACCATGGAAAAAGACATTTACCAGTGATTTTGTCTTTTATTTAAAAATTGAGCATAGAAAACATAAATCAGTTTTTTATTTGTAATATAAAAGCATGGAAAAAAAAAGACATTTGGACACCGATTTTGTCTTTTATTTACAAATTGAGCATATAAAACATAAATCAGTTTTTTGTAATATAAAAGCATGAAAAAAAAAAGACATTTAGACACCGATTTTGTCTTTTATTTACAAATTGATCATATAAAACATCATAAATCAGTTTTTTGTAATATAAAAGCATGAAAAAAAAAAGACATTTGCACACTGATTTTGTCTTTTATTTACAAATTGAGCATATAAAACATCATAAATCTGTTTTTTGTAATATAAAAGCATGAAAAAAAAGACATTTGCACACTGATTTTGTCTTTTATTTACAAATTGAGCATATAAAACATCATAAATCAGTTTTTTATTTGTAATGTAAAAGCATGAAAAGACATTTGCACACTGATTTTGTCTTTTATTTACAAATTGAGCATATAAAACATCATAAATCAGTTTTATTTGTAATATAAAAGCATGAAAAGACATTTGTAATATGAAACCATGGAAAAAGACATTTACCAGTGATTTTGTCTTTTATTTAAAAATTGAGCATAGAAAACATCATAAATCAGTTTTTTGTAATATAAAAGCATGAAAAAAAAAAAAGACATTTGCACACTGATTTTGTCTTTTATTTACAAATTGAGCATATAAAACATCATAAATCAGTTTTTTTTGGTAATGTAAAAGCATGAAAAGACATTTGCACACTGATTTGTCTTTTATTTACAAATTGAGCATATAAAATATTTTTTAGTCATATGAAAGCTTGAGAAAAGTACCCAAACCCTGCAGACTGTAGCAGGGTTTGTAATACAGTAAATAGAAGTCTTTTCAATAAACACTGACACTTTAAACAACCTCTCCATTGAGGAAGCCATCGTGTCTTTTACATGAATCAGAAATCACGAGGATTAAAAGGAGAGTGTTTTGATTTGTCCTCTTCTGCAGAAGTCATTCAGTACTCTGGCTGGATAAGGAGCGATATATGGGTTCAGCGGACTGCCCCCTGTGCTAAAACAATGGAAATACAAAGGAAACGGGTTTTTTTTTTTATTATTGTGAATTTTATTTGTAATTGACATTAATATTCCATGTTATTAACTGAAAATGACATCCCTTGCTCTCTTGGCACCAAAATCAATTTGTATCAATAGGAGTCGACGCCATTTGGGAATTTTCACGATTTCACCGCGTTGACAAACAGAAAGATAATAATAGGCGGATCTTTAAGTAGCCTACTCTAGGGAAGAACGTTGCTAATACTCGTTTAACACCCAAGTAAATTATTTTGGCAGTTGTTAGTATACACGAGTTAAGAACTGTCAAAATGATGAATGTAGGATGTCTAGGAATGTATTTACATAATCACACCTCGATGCCTAAAGTACGGTAAATAATTAAGCTCCTCAATTTTCAGAAAATGTAGCCTACTCGCCCTCAAGTTGTTCCAAACTTGTACGAGTTTCTTTCTACTGTTGAACATGAAAAGATCTTTTGAACAATTTGAGCAACCAAACCGTTGCTGGTACCCATTGACTTCCATAGTATGGAAAAAAATAGTTTGGAAGTCAATGGACACCAAAAACGGTTTGGTTATACGGTATACCCACATCCTGTAAAACATCGACTTTAGCATTCAACAGAAGTAAGTAACTCCTAGCACACTCAAGTTGTTCCAAACAAATGTAAGTTTGGAGCAACTTGAGGGGGAGTAAACGATGACAGAATTTACATTTTTTAATCAAGCCTACAAGCTCAAATATGTGTAATGCCCCAGAGAGAATGGATGAGATGCTTTCATGTGGGGGAAAAAAAAAACTGGTCACATAATAAATTGACAACATAGCTGCGAATCTTCAACATATTTGGCATGACATTCATTTTTAAGAGCTATTTGTGGAGCTATAAATCATACGACAAAAGTTACAGGAATTTTGCAACAGGTGGGAGTTATTTAAATAAAGTAAATGACAGAATAGTCTATTAATCACAGCACTTTTACACATTTTTTTGTTAATTGTGGCTTTTGCAAAGTCAGATTTGTAAGCTATAAACTCAGAATTATATCTCAGAATTAATAAAAAAAGGTAATTGTGACTTTTTACGTCACAATTCTGACTTTTTTCTTGCAATTGAGAGTGTATATCATAATTCTGACTTTTCTCGCGGTTGCGAGTTTGTATTTTTAAATTCTTGGAGTTTTGAGAAAAAAAATTTGCAACTAATTTGTATTAAACGGTTTTGGCATCCATAACTTTTTTCCTTTCAATCTGATCAATTTAGTTCGGATCAACTCCGTCGGACCGATTGAGGTGTTCACATGAAGTCTTTACAATCAAATTACTAACCAACTATTTGTGTGCATGTAAACATAGCTAGATTGTGTGTAATAAAGTGCAGAGTTGTCATTTGAAAGGGCTCCTTACGCGTCTCTTGAAGAATCGGTTCAGCAGTCGGCCGTATTCAGGAGGACTCCGATGGATGAGCGGAGTCTCGGAGCTGGTCTTTGGGATCACAATGCTGCGGTCCAGATCTGGTGTTCTTGTTCCTCGAGGCCCGAACACATTCAGGTCTTTGAAGCACTCGGTCTCTATCATCTAAATTAATTTTATAAAAGCATATATGTGACCCAAAACCAGTCATAAGGGTCAATTTTTTGAAATTGAGATTTATGCATCTGAAAGCTGAATAAATAAGCTTTCCATTGATGTATGGTAGGACAGGACAATATTTGGCCGAGATATTTAAAAATTTGGAATCTGAGGGTGCAAAAAAAAAAAAAATTCTAAATAC